ATCTGTTTCGGCTCTCGAGAGACGGCTCGCTCCGACAGTGACGAGAGCACCGACGAGAAATATCGGGTGCAACGGGTTGATCGAGTGTTCGTGTGATCTCTCGTCAGCAATTTACGTTGATACTTCTTCTACCCTGATGCTGATGTAGAGCAACAGCTGTAATTTTACATTGAGGCGGTCGAGAAGGCGGGTGATTGTGTCAGGGGTAGAGCCGAGTGGTTGTGTGCATCGCTGTCGCGGCCCCATCAATCCTTCGAATATATTTGTGAAGCGGGACATTGAGCCGTTTGCCGTTGCGTGTCCCGTTCTGCTGACGAGCTTTTAACATTCAATTTGTTCGTCGTCAACTAATCCGTGTCCGCCTCGGATGGTGCAGCGGATGTGGTTTCGGGTTGTGGCCCCAGGAGCTTCGTGGAAGGTTGCAGTCGGGCAGCTTCTGCGTCAGATCGTGTGGTTGTGACTTCTCGCGAGCGTCGTTCGGCTTCCTAAGCACCATCGGGGTTGACGTCGTTACGGTTGAAGGTTGAGCGGCGCGTGTGTTCTAAAGGGCTTTGCGTGACTTCAAGATCTTTTTTTGCGGATGACCGTGAACTGCGGTCATCCTCGCGGCAGCGGTCTTCTGGCTGCTGCCATCGAACAAAGGCGGTGGTGGTCACCGCATCGCGCGGCGCTTTCAGATGCGCTTCTGCGGCCGTCTGGAACGCTCTTCTCATATTTGGAAGCCACTTGACCTGTGCACTTTTAAATCATCTAGATTTTCAACTAATTTCTTAACAACTGCTTTTTGTGTCTAGTTTGTTGTCCTTCCCCCGCACCTCCGATTAGAAAAGTTGGCTACGTACGGTGCGAAAGAAGGTCAACACACACACATAACATGATACTGTGTTTCACAAATTACTTTTGTAGTGATTCACATTTGTGCACGGGCGGTTAGTGAACAATTGCGTGAACACGGAAGGTGTGATGATATTACGCTGCATAATATTTAGTGTTCATAATAAAGGTTTTTGGGTTACATCGCGTTATTTATAAATGTGTCGTAACCCTCCACCACCCAACACGGCCAATCAGCAAAAAAAGTGTCACGTTGACAAAAGACAATTAGTTCACTACTTTAGCCCACCGGTGTGTTGAAGAGTGAATCCACAACATTTACAGTTTGAATACGACGTGCCGCTGGTAATTACATCCAGCATCATCGGGCAATTCGCCAGAATGGTACAGCCCTCACTTGCTCCCGGTCTTAAATAGAGCAGCAGCAGGGTGACGTCATCGTTTAACTAATTTCAGGTGCAGTGATTTGAGGCGGAGGGGGGGTTTTGTAATTATATAATCGATTGGTAATCAGTCAATGGTTATGATTAGTAATGAGTTGTAGATTAGTAATTATTTGTAATGTGGGTTATTGTGATTATATGCTACATTAGTAATCCGTTAATTAATATGTGTTTCCCCTATAAGGAATTGTAATATGTATTATATAATAATACGCTTCCAAGCCGCACTAAGCCTATAGCTATCAGAACGATTAAAGTTATTTCTGTTTCTCTCAATTTCAATGGATTCTCAAATTAGTCTTTGCCAGTAATAATTAGTTTTACACAACACTTCAACGTTATCAAAATAAATTGAGTGTCCTTGTTGACAAGCATGTTCTGCCACTGCTGACAGTTGTGTTTGAGATAATTAAATATTTCTTTGGTGTTCTTTTAGTCTTATGCTGATGTTACGTCCCGTCTGTCCAATATAGCATCTACCACATAAACAATTAATCCGATATACACCTTCTGTTGATAATTTAGGTAATTCGTCTTTAGTGAAAGATACTAGTTTTTTTAAATTTTTGTACTGTACCAAATCTTACTGTAATGTTTTGCTTTTGCAAAACACGGGCTAATTTGTCAGTTACTCCTGAGATATATGGAATTTAAAATTTTTTGAGAATCTGATCGCTTTCAGCAGTGTTGCTTTGCGATCGTGATTTGGCATTCAGTGCTCTGTTAATTTGAGTATTATTGTAGCTATTTTGTCGTAATGCTTCTTTAACGTGTTTGATCTCTCTCACTAGACTTTCACCATCTGACACTGTTTTAGCCTGATGTATGAGCGTCTTGATAAGAGAGGATTTCTGAGCTGGATGATGATGCGAATCTGCATTCAGATAGGCATCAGTGTGCGTTTGCTTTCTGCAAACGTTGTGTGTTATTTTACCGTTTATGCTATGTCCAAGCAAAATATCCAGGAACGGGAGTGTGTTATTCACCTCCATTTCCATGGTGAACTGGATGGCCGGGTTTTGTGTATTGAGATGATTTAGAAAATCATTAAGTGTATCTTTACCATGTGGCCAGACAACCAAAGTGTCATCCACATATCTAAACCAAAAAGATGGTTTTAATGTGCTCGAGGCAAGTGCTCTCATTTCAAAGTTTTCCATGTACAGATTTGCTATAGCAGGAGATAAAGGAGAGCCCATTGCTGCTCCTTCCTTTTGTTTGAAGAAATCCCCTCTCCATAAGAAGTAAGTGTTATTTAAACAATGGTCAGCAAGTTTCGGAATATCTTTTGGTAAACCTGTATTCTTCACTAGTATATCAAGTAATTTAAGCGATTCGTTCACTGGAACCTTAGTGAATAGAGAAATCACATCAAAACGTACCAGAATATCATTAGGATTAAGTTTGATATCTTGAATCACATTCACAAAATGTTCTGAATTTCTTATGAATGAAAATGTCCTACCGATGTAGGGCTGTATTTGTTTAGTTATATATTTTGGTAATTTATAAGTGGCAGAGCCAATTGTACTGACTATGGGTCGCAATGGGATGCCGATTTTATGAATCTTTGGTAGCCCATACAGTCTAGGTGGTTTAAAGGCCCTTGGCTTAATTTGGTATTGCTCATTCTTAGGGATTAATGAATTTGCAATTATTGCAGTAGTCTTACATTCTAAAGTGTTAGTTGGATCTCGTTTAATTTTAATGTAGGTACTTTCCTCTCGTAAATTTCTAATTTTATTATCATAATCGGCTCGTGACATCACTACAGTAGTGTGGCCTTTATCAGCTGCCAGGATTTTGATATATTTATTTACACGGAGCTCTCTTAAGGCTTTTGCTTCGTTCTAGCTAATATTTACTTTTGGAACTTTGCTATTCTCAATTATTTTGGCAACCTCGTGTCTAGTCATCTCTGCCTCATTATGTGGAAGGAGTCTTACTGCTGATTCTACCTCAGCAATGATCGCATCCACCGGATTTGTGCGTGGGGTAACGGCAAAGTTAAGGCCTTTATAAAGGACAGAGATCATGTAACTAGTTAAAACAGTTATAGTCAAGTTCATTACGTTTTTTTTAATTGTTCGTTTTTAGTAGGGATTTGTTTATTATGAAGTCTAGAAAATGTATTCATTTGGTTAGTTTTTGTTAGATTAAACACATTATCAGCTAATTACTAATCTACAACTCATTACTAATCATAACCATTTACTGATTACTAATCGATTATATCATTATAATACCCCCCCCCCCGCCTCAAATCACTACACCTGAAATAAGTCAAATGATGACGTCACCCTGCTGCTCTATTTAAGACCGGGAGCAAGTGAGGGCTTTACCATTCTGGCGAATTGCCCGATTATGCTGGATGTAATTACCAGCGAAACGTCGTATTCAACTGTAAATGTTGTGGATTCACTCTTCAACACACCGGTGGGCTAAAGTAGTGAACTAATTGTCTTTTGTCAACGTGACATTTTTTTGCTGATTGGCCGTGTTGGGTGGTGGACGGTTACGACACATTTATAAATAACGCGATCTAACCCAAAAACCTTTATTATGAATAATATTGGTCGCAAAAGCCTACGTGTTAAACCAATATTTAGTGTACTTGAAATTACAACACTGGACAGTTGTCTGGCAAGTTTGTGGCCAAGTCTGTTTTTGTTCCGATTTGCATGAATTAATTTATTTCATTAAGTGTCAAAGTTGCCCTTTGCTGAGCATGGGAGCTGGGGAAGAATCTGGTTTTTTTCATTTCCATGACAGGTAAACACGTGGCATGCGGGTGGTTTGGATTCACAGTGGTTTATAATATCCCATATAAGTAACCTGGCATTGAGGAACCAATAAATTAAAAGTACATCTTTGAACGAGTGTGGGCTCGTGATGTTATTATTATTACATAAAACATCTTGCAGGAAATGTGGCGTATGAATGTTAAATATACACGTCAACGCAGAGACTGAGAGAAATGCGAAGTGATTGATAATTAACACAATTTGTCTCCTGTTGAAACGAAATCTGACAGCAATTACGTACAAACCAAGATTCAAACGTGTCCGACTTGTGCATGCTCTTCGGGAGAGACGCTGCCATCCGCGGGATTAATAAACGCTGCCGCTTGCAAGCGGACGTAGAAATGACAATTTTTGGTGTCATGAATATTAACATCCAATATATGTAATGAATAAAAAACTGCGTTTTTTTAAATGGGTACGAACATCTGCGAATAGAGAGTGGCGGTGTTCTGAGCGACATGTTGGGGGTAGGATTGGGAGCGCGAGTGACGGCAACTGAGGATCCTTCGCGGCGACCATGGCGTTTTGTTGGTGATTGTTTACTGTGTTTAGTGTGCCACTTGCTGGCATCACGGCATGTTGATATTAAATTTACAATCAACCAATCCTGGGCTCTTATGAAAGAAGGAATTTGTATTTATATATATAAATAATGCTGGTAATTATTGAATGTGGTTGAAGATAACACAATTGCTACACTCTAAAATGAGGCAATGTCTGAATCATACACTGTGTCGTCTCTGCCCTGCATATGCATGTGTTTAAAAGCGTTCTTCTTTCCTATGGCAGGGAAAAATTATCAACACTGTGTGTACAATTGATGTTTAAAGTATGAGCAGCTTTTAAAAGTAAAGGCTTGTGCTGACAATGAAGACAACGGACTCAAGGCCGTCTCTCTGCTTTTGCTTTTCATTCACAGCGTTCGTTCATGAGCAGCGTTCGTCTGACGGCGCAACCCTCCCCGGGCCATGGAAGCTATCCCAGAGTCACCGCTCCTAAGCCGAGGTCTCCAGACGCTCCAGAAACGACCAGGAGTGGCTAAAAGCCCCCGAGCTCCCACGTCGCCCTCCCCGAGAGCATCGCCTTCACAGCCAATGCAACCGCTCGCTCAAGCATCGCCAACGCAAGCGGTCAAACTGGCACTAAAGCAGCCGGTCTTAGGACCGTTGACACCACCGCCGCTAGCACAATTGCCTCCGACGCCGACGGCTGAGCATTCAGTGGCAGCACCGCCAATTGTGCCGAACAAGCTACTGCCGTCGCTGTGGTGGCCGTTGCGTCAACTAATGCCGGCATCAATGCCGACAGCGCCAAGGTCATTTTCAAGTAAACCGACTCTGCAAATACCGTCGCCGCCGCTCCCCCAAAAGCTGTCAATGTCCTCGGCTTCCGAGCCTTCACCGCCTGTTTCGGCTACGCCGGCAACGACGACAACAGCGCTATCCGCGGCGGCCGCAGCAGCATCGACAGCGTCATCTTACGCAACTCCAGCGGGCAAGGGCGAGGCATCACCACCGCCGCCAGCGGCCCTGTCGGAGTCAAAACAACGGCCGTCACCTTCGTTGGTGCCGGCGCTTCCGCCGCCGCCAGCCTCTCCGGCGCGGTCCCCGCTGCGGCTCCCCGTTCTGTCGGCACGCTCGCCGCCCGCGGGCCGCCCCCCAAAGCCGCAGATGTCCGCGGCCCGGCCACCCCCCCGAGGCCGCGCGGTGCTGCTGTTGGCACTGCCAGCGCTGCTGGCGCTGATCGACCGGCGGCAGCTGGGCCCGTCGCCGTGCTCGGCGAGCGGCGCCGACGCGCAGCTGCACTACCGCGTCAACTACCGCCTGCGCGAGGAGAGCCCGCCTGGGACGTTCGTGGGCGCGGCGGGCTCCGACTCGGGCCTGTCGCGCGTCTCCAGCGGCCTCGACTACCGCATCATCTCGGCCGGGCCCGGGGAGCGGCGCGGCCGTCCGGACGGGGACGCGGGCGAAGGCGGCGGCGGCACCCTCTTCCGCGCCGACGCCAGGACGGGCGACATCTACACGGGGGCGGCGCGCCTCGACCGGGAACTCGTCTGCGGCCGGGACGCCGGGCGACGGCGTCTGGGCCGGGACGTTGGCCCCGGCGTGCCCGGCCTGAGCGCGGACCGCTTGAGTGAGCGCGAGGACCGGGGGGAGCCGAGGAGGTCGAGCGGAGGGGGGGCAGAGGGCGCGGGCAGCCCGGCCGGATCGCGGGCCAGGCGGGACGTCGGCGATGGGATCCGGGAGCTCGGCTGCCCGACGGGCGAGCGGCATTCGTTCCGTGCCGAGGGCGCCGTCGACAAGCGCTCTGTGAGGGACGCTCGCGAGCGCACGGACGTCGCAGGAGACCGAAGTGACGGTGCTGCCAGGGACTCGGAATGGGACGATTTTAACGATGACGTTAAACAACACAACACCGTCGGCCGCAATAAAGGGAGACGTTCCGGATACGACGTCCTCGGCAGCGATGGGTTTAATAACCGTCGTACGGGGGACGAGAGGGCAAGATGTCACGGTGATGCCGATGGTGCTGGGCAGCAGGTTCTCAACAAAGCCCACCCTGGGCCTTTCGTAAACAACCTCAACAGACACCGCCTTGGCCGTGACGACAATCGCCAGGCCGGAGGGCGTGCGAGCCACAGCGGCGACAATGTGGCGCACTGGCCGGCCTGGAGAGACGGCGGCGGTGGCAATCGCAGAGCCAGGAACGTAACCCGCGGCTACGACAACCGGGCGCCCATCAACCGCGCGGGCCGCAGCGCGCACGGCAAGGTGCGAGTCGGTCGTCAACTGGCAGCCTACGGGCACGACGACTACGACGACGCCGGTGACGGCACGAGCGACAAGGACGACGACGACGACAGCAGCTGCTTCTTCGACCTGCAGATCGTCGCCACGCCCGAGCAGCCGGACCCCTTCTTCGCGCTCCTCGAAGCGCGCATCTTCATCATCGACGTCAATGACAATTCCCCGACGTTCTACGATGAGGACTCGTCGTCCACGCTGCTGCGCGACGCCATCTTCTCGCTCGCCGTGCCGGAGAACTCTCCCGCGGGCCTCAGCCTGGCGCTGCCCCGGGCCTGGGACCCCGACGCCGGCTCCAACGGCGCCGTGAGCTACAGCCTCGACTTTGACGACGGCGACGGCGGCGGCGTCGGCGGCGGCAGCAGCGGCGGCGCCACCAACGACGACGAGCTGGCGCCCGCGAAGGTGTTCGAGCTCCGGGTCGGACAAGAGGACGGAGGAGGAGGCGGCGGCGCCATGACAAGTGAGTGCACCGCGCAGTCATCGCACGTGTCCCCTTGCGGAGCGTGGCGTCCTCCTGCAGAGATTTGACAGATCTTCTGTTGTCGCTTACAAATGTTTGTCGCTAAACCCTCTCCCATTCCTTTGACGTTACGTGTACGTCGTCGGTAAAAGGCCTACGCGGGAGGGCGTGTGTGGCACAGTTTGGCATGAGCTATCGTAGAGTGCGGTCGTGCCGCTACCATTCTCTACTGTGAGTACAACGTCTTTAGAATCGAAGGTGCTATGCCTCTCTAAATAAAGTTCACTGCCTGGGTGACCCATAGTGGTGATGCAAATCTTGATGCTGGCTGCCTGACCTTGGGCCATTAATCATGAATTCCACGAATTCTAAGGATGTTGTCAGTCTGATTCAGAGTTTCGTGCATTAGCATCGAAAGCCTTGACATTTTAAAAAGTCAATTAGACTGTGTATTCTCGAGCCTTGCGCATCAGCGGCGGACGCTAGGAATATTTATGGGGTGAGTGCGGGCCGCTAGTTTGGGTTGTTACCGAGGGCCATGGGGGAACTTGTCTACGCGCCGTGAACTCCGGGTCCTGAAGGTGCTCGATGCGCGCATGCACAGGTTGCGTTGCCGGGCAACAGGGCATGAGGCATTAAGGTTTTGCAATCTCATTGTACTCCACCGACTGCTCTGTAAAACTGATCCCTGCGCTACGGGTAGGGCCCCCGCCTACTCTAGTCGTCGCTTGGCGAGGAAAACGAGCGACCTCCCACTCGGCAAAGGTTTATTTGGAAGGGCTCCGATAAACAGCCTTAAAGTTGCTGGAGCAGAGAGTGTGCGGACGGCAGTCGAGTGAAATTAGAGGGGGACGGACGGACAGCAGAGAGTCTGTGGGGGATCTTGAAGACTGGGCGAGTGCGATCCTAAAACTGATTCAGGATTGGATTGAGAGCCAGTGGAGCGATTCGAGTACTCGGGTGATGCGGTCTCGTTGCTGAGTACGGCTGAGAAGCATGGCAGCAGCGTTTCGAATCATCTGGAGGGTAACGGATGCCAGGTTTATGATGATGGTGATGATGGGAAGCATTGACCATCTTGTGGAGTCGGATCAGGGGACCTGAGTTTGGAAAGCCCTACTTATTATAACAGTTTGATTTTCAGATATGGGTGCGCTGTGGTAGTGCAGCTTGTGATGTTTCCTCTTTAAACAAGCAACATTTTTTTTTAGCGATAGAAGGCCAACGGAGCTACTAAATGACAATTCAAGTTAGTTGTATCCGTACATAATAAGCGGCTATTTGATTCGTACATTATAAAGAAGGATTTAAACAAAACGAAAAAGACACAAAATCGAGTTCAGTATCGCCATCTACGCCTTTGATTTGAAGCATCTAGATTTTGGATATGGGTCAATGGAAAATGGAAAAAAAAATGTCAGTGATGGGGAAGCCACGCTGTTGAAGCCTTGCGCAGAGAGTCCATTGACCCAGAGAAAGGGTAAGCCACATTGACTTGGGGACGATGCCTTCTTCACCCCATCTCTGACCCCCAGCCACGCGTTTATCCTCAACTTCATTTCCAGAAGAAGAAAAAATAATCACAAAATCTTCAGGTCGCCCCAATACGACGAAGGAGCGGACCTCGGCGTTCAAAATCGTCGTCGGCTCCATTTCAGGGCATATTGATTTTTTTTTATCTCAACCACGAAGCGAAATGGAAATGAGCAGCGGGCAGTTATGAAGGGAACGCGATTTGCGCGATGCCTGCCCATGTGCCTCGAGCCGATTGGAATTGCATCACGAGTGCACGATGAACCACCTTCAACACCCACCCCTTGCACGATGCTTTGCGTCGCTTTTGGTTTGCGTCTCTCTTCATTGTTTTACGTTTACCCTCCGATAATTTTGCCGCTCTCTCTGCTCACTCTTTCTGTTATTATTTACGTCGGGTCCACTGGTGTGCTGAGCGCCGACCTTTCCAAAGGCGTACGTTGCAGGTCGCTTCGTAAACCACAGAGGGTGCCGCGGATGTTGAAGGTGACGATAGTGAATGAGTGAGGCTCGGCTCATTATAATGGTATCCACCGAGCGGAGTGTTCGTATGTACACTATGGTTGTGTGGACAGATGTGGGTGGTGAGGGGTTGTTGTCGTTGTTGTTGTGCATTTTGAACGGCGTTAAGCACAATCGCTCACTCTCAACAGGGATCGTCGGGCTTTTGCCAGTGCAGCCCCATGACTATGGAACACGTTGGCCTCTGATAATAAGGCAATCAGAATCTTTAGAGCCATGTAAATCTTGCCCTGAAAAGTCACCTCTTTAAAATGGCCTTTCCCCCATCGTTTTGGTCACCTACGCTGCTGGGTCTGTCTTATTTCCTTCTTTCCATACACGGTGGTGCATTGGGATACTTGGATGAAATGCGCCTTACAAATGTTCATTATATTTTTATATTATTATCGGGGGGGAAGGGGTTTGCTCCGGGTCCTCCGGGTTTCTCCCTCCACATTTAGAAACGTGCGTTGAGATTCTTTGGATTATTTGTCTGCTATACATTTCCACTTGATAAGCTACTTTGTTGAGCTTTCATTTGTGGCCAGGTCACTTCTGAAAAATAAGCTATATCGCTCAGTCAGTCTCACCTGGCAAAATACAAAGTGAAAGTTTGTTTGAACGCACGCGTATTGTTTGTCCGTGTGTGTGAGTGTGGCCCAGCTACTTACGTGCGTACATTCTGTTGATTTTGTTTGGCACCGGGCGTAGCCAACCGTGCTGATTGGAGGTGCGGGGGCAGGACAACAAACTAAACACAAAAAGCGGTCCTAAAGAAATAAGTTTTCAATCTAGATTTAAAAGTGCATAGCTCCAGTGGCTTCCAGTATGTATGTTGACATTCTTTCAAACTGTTCGTACTAATCGAAGGTGCGGGCGGAAGGACAAGAAACTTCTACTGGTGCAAAATCTCGTTGATGCACGGAGACTTTATCACGGGAACCAGATTTTTATTCAAACATTGATGAATTGGCATCTCCTGTGAACACTCCTCGTTCTCGCCTTCGCCTTTCCTTACATTTCCCCGGGGTGTGTGTATGTACGTGAGAAGCAGCAGTGTAGCAGTTAGCGCGCTACGCTACCAACTCGGCGACCCGAGTTCGATTCCCGCTCATGGCCAACACCAGCGACGAATATCTGAACCGGTTTCGGGCCTCCCCTAGGACGGCTCAGCTTCAAATGAGTACCTCGTGCGGTGGGTAAACAGCGCCACGAGGGAGACAAAGGCGGCCGGGCGTGGTGCTGGCCACCCGCCCCCTCGTGTGCTGTGCCGGCCTTCATAGGTGCTCGCAAACAGCACTTGCCGCAACGGTTTGTGAAAGGCTGTACGGGGGGATCTTCGTGTTATGTGTAAAATAGATGGAGTGGTGCGTTGCTGCAGTCGTTTGTAGACTGCACTTTGAACATCCAGAATTAGAATCCGGATCACGGCAAACATCAGTGGCGAGTGGTATCTGAACTGAACCTGAGATTCCCCCTTTCATAAACCCGCACTCGTCAACGTTTGTGAAGTACTGCACGGTCACACCAACGCACACGGCCGGCGCGGCACTGAGAAAGGGGTTTTCATCTAGAAATAGATTGGCAAATGAGAGATGGCAATATTCATAGTCTTCTTTGGTTCTTTCGGTAAAGTCACGTAAAGTCACGTGACTTTACCGAAAGAACCAAAGAAGATGAATCATTGCAGTCACGAAAGCTTTAAATCGAAAAATATTCATAGTGTTACCATGTTAATTGTTGTTTAAAGCTACTACGGCGTAGTTGATCGTTGTCGTCATGTGGTAAGCATTCTTCGAGATGCATGCCGTGAATGGGCACCATACAGTAATGCCCCATGCGTGTAATGCATGGGCGCAATGTGTTTGATGTATGTGTGCAGCGCGTGCAATATAAGTCCGTGATGTATGCATATAATAAACATGAAGCACGTGATGCATGCGTGCTATTTTATTGTGACGCATAAGCATAACGTTGTTACGTGCGACATGAAACATGCCAGGGTCTCCCCGCTCAAACGAGCAATGGGATGGGGTTCATTGTTGTTGGTGCTCCGAAGGCAGTAGTTGAAACTCCACGTTCCTCTCATGAATCCCTCGCAAGAGAACCGCGCTTTTTTGGTAGTCGATGCTGCCGCCCACCTGTTGTTATGCAAAGCCAAATCCTTGTTTCTTGTCTTTTGAATTTGACTCGCTCCTAGAATAGGAATGTACAGGTACATATGTATGTTGAACGTCTTTCGCACTATACATGCGTAACCGTGCTAAACGGTGGTGCGGGGAAGCACAACAAACTAAACACAAAAAGCAGTTCGAAAGAGATGAGTTTTCGATGTAAATTATTTGAAAGTGCATAGCTCCAGGGGCTTCCTAATACTGGAAGGAAGAGCGTTCCAGACGGCCGCAGAAGCACGTCTGAAAGTGCGCGATGCGGTGTCCGTCTTTGTTCGATGGCTCGCCAAAAGCCGCTGCGAGGATGACCGGAATTTGCATGATGATTTATGCTCCTTAACGTGATCAGCAAGGTATTGTGGTCAATTTGTGGCCAGCACTTTGTGTGCCATGAGTGCCACTTCATAATGCATTCGTTCGGCTACCGGAAGCCAATGCAGCTTTAATGTTTATTCGAGAATTAACTTTGACTATTAAAAAAACAATAATTGTATAGACCAGGACAGAGCATTGCATAATGGTTCCAGTTTCCACGGTTTCACTATAGCTTGATTCCGTTCCCTGCCCAGTAATCCCTATCATGTTGCGGTGTTCACGGTGGGTATTAATGCACAAGAGGAAGCCACGGTGAGCCGGTTTCATCGCACACACATCCCACATTTGAAAAGAGTGCATACGTGTGCCTATACCCAAATGAGGAGTGGGCAGTGATAATCTCAGTTAGCCATCGACAACCGGTTGTGGACATTCGACATCCCTGCTTAGTGGAGCCACACTAGCGATTGTCCGCACTTT